ACTCTTTTGTTCAAATTAGGAGAAAACAGAGTATTACCAACATCAAAAATATGGTTGGGCAGGAGTTTACCACCCCCTCACACATTGGAGAGGCTGCAATAGATTTTTTCAAAGACCTGTACACAGAAGAGCAGACTGAGATTAATGACATTCTTCATTACATACCTCAAATTATAAATCCTGATGATAACAACAAGCTTACAGTTTTACCTGATATGGAAGAGGTTAAATTGGCAGTATGGGAGCTGAATCAAAATAGTGCTCCAGGCCCGGATGGGTTTCATGGAAAGTTTTTTAAGAAGTGCTGGCATATTGTATGTTTGGATGTTTTAAGGGCAGTCCAGGAGTTTTTCATGGGGATACCTATTCCTAAAGGTATGGCCAGTGCACTTTTAGTTCTCATTCTTAAATCTGACATGCCTTCTTCTTTCATTGATTTCAGGCCCATTTGCCTATCAAATTTCATTAATAAGGTGTGCACTAAAGTCTTGGCTTCTAGACTTAAAGGTTTTCTTCCTAAAATTATTTCTCAAGAGCAAGCTGGATTTATGGCCAATAGAGACTCTGCTGATCAGACCATTCTGGCTCAGGAAATGGTTCATTGTTTAGACAAAAAGATCAGGGGCAGCAATGTAATTGTGAAATTGGATATGGCCAAGGCATTTGATAGAGTTTCTTGGTTTTTTCTTTCAGAAATTCTTTTGAAATTTGTTTTTTCTAGCCATTTTGTTAAGCTTGTCCTTAACAATCTTAAAGCTACTTATCTCTCAGTTTTGGTTAATGGAGTTCCCCAAGGTTTTTTAAGCCTACTAGAGGGGTCAAGCAAGGGGATCCTTTATCACCCTTCTTATTCATAATTGCATCTGAAGCTTTTTCAAGAGGATTAAATTGGCTTATGGAACATGGTAAAATTAAGCCTTATTGGATGGGGAATATGGGAAATATGGGCAGGACTGTTTCTCATTTGGGATTTGCAGATGATCTACTTATCTTTATTAATGGAGAATCCAGATCATTATTGAGGATTAAAGAGTTCTTGAAATCTTACCAGAAAGCATCTGGGCAGGCCATCAATTTATCCAAAAGCTCTTTCATATGTGGAACATCTTCACCTGCAAGAAAGAACAAGATTAAGGATCTGTTAGGTATGAAACTGACCTCCTTGCCTATCAAGTACCTAGGGGTCAACTTGCACAAAGGGATCAATAGGTTTGAATATTGTAGCAATATTATCAGACAGTTTGAAAATAAACTTTCTCCTTGGAGGCAGAAGAACCTTTCTCAGGGTGGGAGGCTTATTCTCATTAAGCATGTTTTGAATTCTATCCCTTTACATATCTTGGCAGTAGATACTTTGCCAAAAAAAGTGATTAAAGTTTCACATAGCAAGATGTCATCTTTTTTCTGGGGATCTTCAAATGAAAAAAAGAAATATCATTGGATGAAGTGGGCAAAATTATGCTATCCTACAATGGAAGGTGGGCTGGGAATTAGGTCTTTGACAGATATTGAGAAAGCTTTTACTCTAAAGATTTGGTGGAAATGGAAGACAGGTGATTCTTTGTGGGTTAAAATTATGAGAATGAGGTATGACAGGAATGGTAGCATGATACCTAAAATATATGACTCACCAATATGGAGGAGGATTTGCTCTATGAATGAGACAGGAATTGAGCTCACTACCATGGAACCATCTGGTAGAGTATCCTGGAATGAAGAAGATGATGATTTAACAATAATAGACATATTATTGTATGCAAAATTAAAATAAAAGGTACTCCCTCCGTTCCTATTATATCTTTCAACATTCCATTTTCATCCGTTCCAATTAAACTTCCACTTTCCCTTTTCGGTAAATAATTTGTGATTCACAATATTTCTTAGACATTTTTCTCTCCTCTGCACAACTCTCCACCACACAATACCCACTTTTCTTAAATTGTGTGCCAAAGTGAAATGGAAGATATAAACACTTAAAAGTTAAAAAAGTCTCATAGTGATCCAAAATATCATTACGATCTTGTTGATGTTAACTCCATTAGGTCCAAAGGCCCAACACACTTCTTTGGCTATCATTGGTATGCTTGTAAAAGAGATGAAGTGAGAGTGATGGTCCACCAACAAAATGGTTCTATTGCTCAATTGTATTAGGATGAAAACGTTGATTACAAAAAATGCCCGAACATGAGTTCCGCACCAGTTGCTAATACAAGAGATAGAAAGTAATATATTATTGGTGAGTATCAAAATGCTAACTCTTTACAATGAATTAAGCGCTGGTATTTATAGTATGAGTGAGTAGGTGAGATGAGTGATGTGGCCGATTATCAGTGGATGACCTTCTTGCCACTTAGTCTCCCATACCTCTAACATTAAATGCACTTCACACCCATTTGCAAGGTTTTCCGCCAACTGTTGGGCTGACCCTTCATGGATGGCGCTCTCCATTGTACTCAGCCCGTTCGGGAATGGCCGAACGGGAACGGATCGTACGGTAATTCCCTGTTCCTTAATCATATCTGTTGGGCTCCGTTACACATGGGCTTCTTGGGGATGTTTTGGGTCAGATCTTGGGTCGGACCCTAATAATATATCCCAACATAAGTCCTCCACTTCTGATGTTCCGAGCGTGCGCGGGACATAAGGAAGTAGAGAAGTTGCTTTGTGTTGTTCCGTATATTCCATTCGGCAAAAAGTTCGCAGATTTGACGGTCTTTGCGGTTGTTGGTTGGCTTCCCTAAGCCAAACTCATGATTCCCTGACGTTCCTTCTCCGTTTGACACGTGTTTCCGAAAACGCTCCCTGCCACATGCTTATTTCTGGTTGGTTGACGAAACGGCGTGTTGGCATATAAATAGAGGCCTCCATTCACAACTTCAAGGTACAAGTTTTCTAACATGCTAATAGAAGAGGTTGTAAAGAATCGGGAAGATTCGCTAACAAAAGAACGTACGCATGTTATTAGTATCTTCTACACACACAAAAAAAATACGATCAGAATATAACAAATATATTTATTTAAATAGTGCCATTATTTTTAGCTTTATATTATGAACTATTAAAATGTAAGAGTAATTTAAATGAAATAATAATGGCACTATTTAAATAAATACATTTGTTATATTTTGATCATATTTTTGTGTGTGTAGAAGATACTAATGTTATAATATAGAGTCATATTTTGTTCAATTTGTTTTTATTAAATTGCAACACTTTGGCTTTATATTATGAACTATTTTATAATATAACCATATTTTATCCCACACCGAAAAACTCAAGGGATTTTCACCCCCTTATAAAGGGAAGGCTCTTTTAAGGAGTTAAGATTCCTAAAGGGAAAGGCTCTCTCTTACGCGCAGGGGGGGGGGTGCCGATCAAATCCTGAAACGGAGAAGAAAAACCCCGACTCGTGTGCGCGGGCGACCTGCGGACACGAATGCCGTCCAAAAATCTATCTCTGAAGAGATACGGTTAATTTTTTGTTTTCTTCCCGAACGTTTATTTTTCCCAGAAGTGCTCTGGACAGAAGGCCTCGAACAGAAACCCTCCGAGGGGGGTTCTGTTGACTTCGGACAGAAGGCCTCGAACAGAAACCCTCCGAGGGGAGCTCTGTTGGCTACGGACAGAACCCCTCCGAGGGGTGTTCTGTTGGCTTCGGGCAGAACCCCTCCAAGGGGTGTTCTGTTGGGGTCTTCTGTCACGCATTTCTTTCGTTACAACAATTAATGCCCAACGTTCTTCTCTTTTAATGCAGCGTTAAATGGACAGTTTATGGACGATTCAATGTCCAACGGACTGGTCATTGATGTCCAACGTTCAGGTCCATTAACACCCCATTTAACACACAACAAATCCTCCTATAAATAGCTGGCAGGTGCTTTGCAACAAACACACGGTTTGACAATGCACAACACTTTCCTCACGTTTTCTTGAGCTAAAAACTCTTCCAGCTATTCCCAAAAATTCCTCTGTGTTCATACTCGGTTCTCGTTCGTTGGAACTCTTGTTTGTGTGCTCAAACATTAGTTCGTAGTCAATGTATCCTGGGAAACGATTGTTGCAACGCTCCTAGCACCGTGGGAGGCAACAAATACGTTTTAAGGAAATCGTGCGTAGCACGAGCTTTGGCTAATTCTGCTTCATCTCCTTTCTTGTTTTTTCTCTAGTCATTTTATTTAATTAATTTATTTTAATTAATTTTCTTTATTTTCCGAAACACACCCAACACAGACCTCAGGACCCACATACTCAGAAGAATAGGAGGCACAACTGGCACCCAGTGGGACCTCCGTCAGCCAGATGGCCCTCCATCGGCCAGAAAGACATCGACTCAGAATATGATCCGGAAGACAGGAGAACCGGGTGTCTCCGTCGGCCATGGCTCCGTCGGCCAGACCCTCGTCGGCCACAAAGAGCTCACAGAACCGGACTTCACACTTAATCATTTCTACATATTTTGTACTCGGCCCAGTAGTGACCCAATTGTAAATGGGCCTCCCAAGTCCAAGACTTGGGAGCCCAGCCCACATGTTCTCTATAAATACTCCCCTTGGGAGTAGTGGTAGAGGGTTCACAAATCATTTATTGCAAGAATCTATTGCACTTCTCTTTCTAGCTCTCAATTCTCTCTAGAATATATATTCTATCAATAATTATAATGAAATTCAATCTATGAGCCAATTTCTTTATCAAACAGTTATTTTTTTATTTTGCGAACTGAGTTGTGCAATAACCAAAATAAATAAGATTAAAGTTATTCCTCAGATTGAGTGGACTGAAATTATTGTAATTTTTAAAGGACGATTCTAACTATACTCATATAATTTTTTCATTTTTTTTAAAATAATGTCATATAATTTAGCTATTTTGATAACGCAAGAATCGGTAACCGGAGTCAAAATTACTTAGATTGTCCATTAACGCTCTCTTAGAATAGTCCATTAAATTAAAGAGTAAAAACGTGACTCGGATAATTTTCTGTGCTTTTGTCCTGTCCCGTACCGATATATGTCCAGCCGACCGACAACACTGAATTGGCAAGAGGAGGAAGCGGAATTCTTAAATGAGGGCCTGCATGCACAGACCCGATCCGTACGTACAGAGTGGAAAATGAATAGAAGCGAGTACACCCTTATTAAAAAGGCCAACAAGATGCTAGCTAAGCCACGACGACCCCGTCCACGCGGCGGCTCCAACGCCGGCCGGGGCCGGAGGAGATCCACCGATGCTGACAAGAAACACGCACGTACATACTTCTTACGTCATTTTTAATGATTAGAATCTTTTCTGTGCGTTGTAAGATGCATTATTAACTGATGATTTGTTTTGCTGCTCCCCTTCGTATATACTGATTGGCACAATATAGCCAGTGGGAGATCCACCTAGCTAGCCAGCTAGGGTTGCCGCGGCCGGCCGGATCATTCCATGATTTTTGAGCCTTTCGTGTCTATGAGGACATGCACTTAATAATCTAATTAGTCACGTTTCAACCACCTCATGGGGGACGCCCAAGGTTTTGCACTTAAATGGCTGAGGTTGGGCACACGTCCGACAAGCTATCTCCCATATAAAAGTGTCAATGGTGCACAAAGGAATACATATCCAAAGGAATTAAGTACTCCCTCTGGTCCGTATTAAAATTCTCACTTTCCTTTTTGGGATGTCCCTTATTTAAGTTCACACTTCCATTGTAGGAAACAAAACAGTGCAAAACAGTGTCAAACAGTGTCCAAATAGTGCCAAACAGTGCACTCCACAGTAAAGTCAAATTTATTTTCTTAATCTGTGTGAAGTCAAGCTGGGAACTTTAATAGGGACCGGAGGGAGTAATAGAAAGTCATTTACATTCTTTCCACATTGTAATAAATATTCAATTGTTTTTTGTCACAAAGTCAATTTCTCCATCTAGATTTAGACATTTAACTTCATATTGTCAATAAAAAGTAACTAAAATTTACTTCATCCTGTTAATAAAAATTTGTTGATGTTGCTAATGAAGCGATGGCGGGTGTTAGTGCGGCTGTGGATGATTCTTTCGATGGCTCCTCTTCTTCCAACGACGACACGAAATCTGATGATGAGATTGCCTCTATGGCGACTGGCCCCCCGAGCGATGTTCCTCGCTACAAACGTGACCTAAGTTTGATCAAAGAGAGGCGGCAGAAACTAACTTCCCAGAATAGGGCCCAAATCCTAGCCTTAATTACGGATCCAGTGGATTTCCGGCTTCGGGCTGGGCTTCAACCAATGTGCCACCTTCCTGGGATGGTGGTGTTCCATTTAGACTCGATGAAAGTTGGGCTTAGGTTTCCCTTGCACCCATTTTTTGTGTCCCTTTTTAAATCTTACGAGGTAGTACCGGCCCAAATCATGCTGATTTCCTACCGGGTGATGGTTGGCTTCATCTGCCGCTGTGTGGACGCCAAGGTCACGCCCCGTCTGGAATTATTCCATCAATTTTTTATAGTGGCTCCTCAGCAAACACATGGGTTAACGTTTTGGCTGCCAGTGCCCATACGGGATACATATTATTTACCGATAATCTGACCTCCATCAAGGGGTGGAAAGATCGGTTTTTCTTCGTTTTCGTCCCGAACGGGTTGATCCCGAAAAGATGGAATGCCTTCCCCCGCAAATCTCCAGAGCCGATGCTTACGGAGGAGATTAGCAAAGATGTTTTCGCGGTGGAGCAGGACAAAAATGCAACATTATGAAGTACCTCACTCCCGATCGGCTTGTCAGTGCCGGGATGGGTACTGCGGTATTCCTGGGTTTACTTGACTGAAAACCAAGTGTCATGGGCTGGACGGTCCTTCCCGTGCAAGAAACGTTTTTTTTCCTATGTTTCCCACGTGATAAGACCGCTCAGTACTAACTTTTTCCTTGTTTATTTTTCCAGCCCCCAACCCCGACGCTCCCATGGACAACAGTCGTGTGCTTGCTACCGGTGGAGTGGGAAAGAGGAAGAAGGCCAAGAAGAATAGCCAACCCCAACCCTCTACTGTTGCTCCGCAGGGTGTCGAGCAGCCTCAGCCTGTCCAAGAGGTCCACCCTATCCAGCAGGTTCCTCTTCATCAGGGTCATTATGAGGACATGTTGATCGACGGCCGGTTCGGGTCAGATCAGCCGCACCATTTTTCTGGGCACTTTCAGGCTGCTCAGGATGTGACCATGGAGGCCGGTCAGGCTAATCCTGCCAACGTTGTGGGATGGATCGAACGGATTTCCCTGGAGGATCCGGTTCACGAGATCTTGGAAAAGGTCGGCTCTTTGGCAAGCCAGATCTGGTCCACTTCTGCCTACTTCAATAATTTTTCGCACCCCAAACTCTCGATCGATCGGGCAGAGGAATGTGTTGCCCTAACGGCCTTGAAGGTACCTTTCTTCCTTCTCCTCCTGTTCTTTTATTACGTAATTCCTTTATATTTTTTCTGGATTTCTGTAGATGGGGTTGTATAACCTGCAACTGCGGGATGCCCGTTTGGCCAAGGAACGGGAGTTGATTATTACCCAAACCTCTGCACAGCAGGCTGCTGCTGCTGCCACTGCTGCTGCTGAGGCTGAATGGAAGGTCTTTGCAGATGTAAAGCAGAGGTTAGAGGATGAGTTGGGTGGACTTCTGGTTCAGCTCGCCGCTTCCTAGGCCAAGGTCTTCGCAGCTGAGGCCGCTCAGGTCAGGTTTGAGGAGGCGGCCTCCCGTATCCCGGATGGTCCTTATGAAGTGAACATGGACCTGTCTACCGTCCGGGAAGTGTTCAAATCTTCTGCTGAGTTTGGATCCATCAAGGAAGAGTATGCCACGCAACAACTCCCAGCTACCTTTGGGGCTTATCTTGAGAAGTTCCCCAAGGGTGTTGAACGGGGTAAGGCGGGATTGAAACTTCTTGACCAGGATCCTCGGGGCAAGCGTTGGAACAATTCCCTGGCCGCTGATCTCTACGTCATGGGCTGCCAACACATCTTACGACCCTTCGTGGCCCAACTGCAGCAACAGCTCGGGAGACCGATCGAGGCCTTCGATCTTCCGCAGGTTCCCATTGTCACAGCTTAGTTTGAAAAGTACGGACGGGGCATGCAACGGGCCGCCGATCGCGATGCTGGAAAGGATCCTGAACCCCCCTCTGACTCAGAAAATGGTGAAGAGGATGAAGAGGAAGATGGAGAATTAAGAAACTCCCAGCCAGTAGTTTGAATTTTTATCTTTTATTTTCTTTAGTCGTTGTAATCTTCCCGTCTAGAACTTGATCTTTATCGATGTAACTCCCGGCCAGTAGTGCTGATGAATAGATATGAAATCTTTTTCCTTTTGCAATCTTAACGCCTTTTGTTGTTTAGTCTAATCTTCGGGATTCGGCTAATCTTTTAGGACGTAGTCATTTTCCCAATAGGTTTTCCGTTCGGTCAATTAGCCAGGACTTGGTTAATACTCCGCCCCTTTTTGACTGTCTTGCAATCTTCCCTGTTCGGGATGATTTTCCTGTTCCGTGGGCTCCCTCCTGACTTCCTCCGGTGTAATCATAAAGGCACGCATCGATCCCGGTTCGGGACACCGATTGCCATTATCGATAAGCTCGTCGGTCGCGCAATCTCGGGTTGCGAACTAGGAGGCGTCATGATTGCTGGCAACCACCTTCTGCCACGTGCTCTTTACGGATTCCGCCTTTGGGCGGCACCTCCCTCTATAAGAAGAGGAGTGATTCCTTCTCATTTTTCTACTGCTTCTTCAATCCTTTCTGCAGTTTCTTAAGCTTTCTCTCTCTAGAATTTTTAGGTTCTTGGTAGTGACTTTTCCTCCTTTTATGTTCTTCTCCTCCAGCTCTTTAGAAGAAGAAGATATGCCTCTCATTCGTCGTCCCAGGGGAAAAACAACATTGTTGGTCAAGCGCGAGCATCTCCATCCCAAGCATCGGATTCCACCAATACTTCAGCGTCCCATTAGGCCGAAGAACCTCTCTCGGATGATGGATGTTCCTCAGGTAATGATCTTGCCCTTTACGAGAAGGGGATGCCTGAACGGCCCCCTCGCATCTCATTACACTTTCATCGCATCAGAAAACAGCGCCTTCCGAAGGACGCCGAACGGCAAATTCACCATTTCGTGCCCCCGGGATATTTATGCATGTTTCATTAAGCATCCAATGAGGCATCGATTGGGGCACTTGCTGGTACATCTTGATGCCCTTACACCTGGGCTTCGTTTTCGCCTGCACCCCTTCGTTGTGGATTTCCTACGCCAGGCCTCCGTGCTTCCGGCTCAGTTCGTGCCTAACACTTACCGCATCCTTACCGGCTTCATCATCCGGTGTCATGATCTGAAGATTCCCCCTAATGTTGATCTGTTTTTATATCACTACAGCTATCAGCCCTACTTGACTACTGGATACTTGAGGCTGGTCGCTCATCCTGTTCGTTAGCCATTCACAGACAATCCTACTGCTCCAGAAAAATGGGAAGAATGTTTCTTCTTTGTTCATGTGGGCAGCCCGCTTCCGTTCCCCGATCTCTGGAACACTTACCCGGTCAAGTATATTGCACATGTTCTAGATGCTGACCTGCTTTGCCAGTATGATCAGCTTCGTCTGGGGTAATCGCAGAATCTAGGGGCCTATGTCACCCCTTCTAAGATTCTAGCTGCGGGCATCGGTAAGCCTTTGTTTTGTTTGAACCGTTTGGCTTGTCTGTCCCTCAATTCTAGTATGTTACCTTGATTTTACTTTTTGTAGGTGTAAACCCTTCAGCCGAGGCCAAGCGTCCCACCCTTGCTTCCACCTCAACGATCCCCACTGGGAAAGGGAAAGAGAAACTGACCGTTGAAGCTCGGGGTGACACTGAACAGGCTCGGAAAAGGCGCCGGGCTGATGGCTGTAGCGAGCTCGTCCCAATCGATCATGTGATTGATTTGACCAGTCAGGAGACTGAGGCCAAGAAGTCTACTCCGCCCACCAAGTGAGGGGGTTCGGCTCTTGATAACATGTCGGTCGACGATCGGATGTTCGTGGAGTTCCCCAACCTGGGGCCTCACGCAGTAGGGAGGTATTTGTTCGGCCAGACACCAGCCTCCATGTGGTGAAGTACGTCTTTGAAGGCTCCCCCCTGCTTTACTAATTTGACTCATTGGTCCGACCTGGTCGAGGCAGGTCATCTTGAGCCATAAAGGTATGACTTTACCAGGCCTATTTTGCATATTGTGTATTTTTTTAAATCTTGTTTTAAAACGTGGTTTCCACCTTTCAGGCTGGAGTTTATTACCACCAGGCTTTCCTGGCTGCCGAGCGGGAGATGTTGCTCCTATCTCGTGATCGAGAAGATAGTCAAACTCTTCTTGCTGCTGCTCGTAAGCTGATTGCGGATCTGCAGGATTGTGCCAGCAAGGGTGACAAAGCAACGACCGAGATGGTCGAGATGGAGGAGAGGACCCGTCACCGTGATCGGACAATCAATGACCTTAAGGCCAAAGTGAAGGTGGCCGAAGCTGTCGGAATGAAGTTCAATAAGGCTGAGGGAGAAAATTCCCCCGATCCTTGTACTGCCAACGTCTCCAAGATCACCAAACAAGCGGTGATTGATTACCAACGAGGGAAAGGGTTGAATGTGGACCTAGAAGAGACCGCTCGGCAGTTTCTGGGACCTCATCTCGGTCAGTTCCTGCGTGCCAGCATGGATCCCATCGCGACGGGAATCAAACTTGTGGATGAGACACCGAAAGGAACGGTCTTTTTAAATGCTCTGACCGAGAAGACAGTGACACAAAGCCAAGATCTGATTGTTGATAGGAACCTTGATTTGATTATGGAGCACTTTCCAAACCGTTGTACCCTGATGAGGCCGGGTTTGACGACTTGTTTGGAAATACCTACGATCGGGTAATGGAGAAGAGAAACAAGGCAGTATACGTGGTAGAAAACCCTTTGGAGCCTGAGAGTTCCAAGCCCGCATCTTCCTCGACCAAGGATCCTTCAACATGATTCTGTATTTGTTCCTCACTCTGATTTTTTTTCTTCCCTTGTATTTTTCGGACGGTAGTGCCGAAGAATAAAACGCGTCCATTTTTTCAATTGTTGCCCCGATCATGCATTCCCTTTATTGGTATGTCATCTTCCAAACCATAGTTTCGATGCCACCGTTCGGGTTTTTCCGATATGCATCTTCCATACTACTGGTTGAGATGCCCTCATTTCCAAACTATCACGCCGGCTTCCCCGTCCGGTCATCCGGTACGGATCATTCATGCGTGGAGCTGAAATGGTGACTTGTCTCCAAATCAAAGCTAGGATTCCACTCTTCGATCTAGTCTTTGTTGCCTGTTGAGGCCTCCTGAACTAGTCGTCGTGGTCCGTCAAAGCTAATGACTAAGACAAGATTTAAAACCATAGCTTCGATCCCCCGTTTGGCAGCGTCTGTGTTTGACCCGACGTCCTCTCGGCTCATCCATGCTCCTGGTTCAACATCATCTCCAAACTTGTTTGAAACCCTCGTTCGGTCATCCAGAACGCAAGGTCAAACCTGGCTAAGATGATGGCTCTCCTCCAGACCAAAATGAGGATCCTCGTTCGGCCATCCAGAATGATTCACTTACACTTGTGGTCAAGGTGAGGCTTTTAACCATAGCTTCGATCCCCCGTTCGATCCGTCTGGGTTTGACCCGACATCCGCTCAGTTCGTCCATGCTCATGGTTCAACATCATCTCCAAAGCGGATTGAAATCCTCGTTCGGTCATCCGGAACGCAAGGTCAATCCTAGCTAAGATGATGGCTCTCCTCCAGACTAAAATGAGGAACCTCGTTCGGTCATCCAGAATGATTCACTTACACTTGCGGTCGAGGTGAGGCTTTTAACCTTATCTTCGATCCGCCGTTCAATCTGTCTGGGTTTGACCCGACGTCCCCTTGGTTCATCCATGCTCCTGGTTCAACATCATCTCCAAACTGGTTTGAAACCCTCATTCGGTCATCAAGAACGCGAGGTCAAACCTAGCTAAGATGATGGCTCTCCTCCAGACCAAAATGAGGATCCTCGTTTTGTCATCCAGAACGATTCACTTACACTTGCGGTCGAGGTGAGACTTTCAACCATAGTTTCGATCCCCTGTTCGATCCGTCTGGGTTTGACCTGACGTCCGCTCGGTTTGTCCATGAACCTGGTTTCTGGAAGTTATGTCTCCCTCTCTCATTCATTTTTTTAAAGGTGGCAACAACCGTTTTCATTGATAGAACTTTCTTAAATGCTCAACGTTCTAGGTGCCCACCGAATGGCCTTCTGTTGTTCTAAGGTCGAACGTCCATGTAGCGTATTTCTTTGAAACTTGGTAAGGGCCTTCCCAATTCTTTACTAGCTTCCCGCTCTCGAGCGGCTTACTTTTCTCCCTTTTCCTTAGAACAATATCCCCCACTTCTACCGATTGGATCTTGACCTGTTTGTCAAAGTACCTCCGAGTTGCTCGTTGATATTCATCCATTCTTTTTGTGGCCAAGTCCCTTCTTTCTTCAATGAAGTGCAGTTCTGCTCGTAAGGCATCTTCGTTACGTTCGGGGTCAAAAGGCATCATTCGGTACGTGGGTACCAAAACTTTCGTTGGGGCTTTGGCCTAGAACCCGTATGATAGAGCGAACGGCGTTTCCCCGGTACTTGTCCTGGGGGTCGTTCGGTAAGTCCATAATATGTAGTTTAGTTGATCAGGCCATGAAGAGGAGCATTCTTCAAGTTTCTTTTTCATCCGTCCATGATCGTTCTATTCATATTCTCGACCTGGCCGTTTGTCTGGGGGTAGGCCACAGATGCCTTAGAATGCTTGATGCCCCATTTGGTCAGTTACTGCTCAAAGTTCTTGCTCACGAATTGTCTGCCATTGTCGGTGACGATCTGCTCCGGGAGGCCGAACCAGCAAATGATGTTTTGCCAGACAAACTTCTAGCACTGAAAGTCTGTGATGCTGGCAAGGGGTTCGGCCTCCACCCATTTGGTGAAGTA